GCTGAAATATGTTACAGCATTACTACGTCGAAAACTGTTCCAATACAAATATTTCGTTTATCAATATTTTAATAAGGTAGGACACTGGTTAATAATATTGTAGCGTGTTCCAGTAACCAAGAGATATAGTAGTTATCAAATAAGTATAAGATGTGCGCAGTTATGATAAGTTGTACAGTTATGTAATGCACTGTTGTTGGAGAGGGAGACCGCCACTTCCATATGAGTGTGTGTGTACGGCGGGCATGGAAAAGACATACTCAGTGCGGTGAGCGCTGGCTTTATTGCTACTGTATCCGTAGCACCCCACGCAATAGTTGGGACTGTGTACTGACGTCAGTAAAAAAGGTTTGCCCCCCCAAGCGCAAATGTCAAACTCCGCCTATGCTTAAGCCCCGCCTCCTGTCATTAAGCCCCGCCCCCGAGCTCCCACTCTCTGCTCACTAGAATGAATGGAGGGAGAAAATACATCTAGATTCGGCTTTTAGTGCATTTTACAACTTGAAGGACCGAATGATTCTAATAAGGGCTATAAAATAGTTGATACTGGGTCGTTTATTTAGTTTAAATAAAATTATCCGCTGATTTACAGACGTCTCTTTCCCAATGTTAGTCAATGGGAAAAGTATTTCTGGGCCCAGTGACGTCACGGACTGATACGGTAGTTGTAGTACCGCCGTTTGGACACAACACGTTTTTTCCTCAGAGTCCGTAGCACTTCCTGGGGGCTTGCGGCACACAGGACCCTCATCTGCGCTCTTATTTTGTAACACAACTTCCGGTAGCAGAATATAAAATAACGGGTTTTTCTTCGTTTCTGTTTACTAGTGGTTTTATTTTTATTTTTTAGAAGAAGAAAATGAAAGTCATCCCGTTTTTTAAGTTTAGTAAATCCCTTTTTCACAATAAAGAAAATTGTCTTGTTTTTCAATTTAATCTTTCAATTTTAACACGAAAATGTTATATCCACCCGTTTTTGAATATCCTTTTGTGAAAAGAAAATCCAAAGACCAAAACATACACTGACCCATTGACTCAGCATGTCTAATGACTGTTATCCTCGACACATTTAAAGCCAAAAACACTGAAATAAAACATGTTTCACACACTTCTAATACGTCCAAACATCACTAATTAATCCCAAATACACATTAATGGGATAAAGTCATTGGTCATCTCAATGGTTAAAAAAAGTGTTAAAATGTTAAAAAAGTTTCATAGAAGCTTAAAAACGGATTGTTTGCAACGTTTATAAAGAAATATCCCTTCTAAAACAATATGGACGCCCCCCTGGTTCAGGTGAACACGATACAGTCTTTTAATTGTTATTGTACAATGCCATGCTTTTATGCTGCAACACAAACATTTCCCAAATTGGGATCAATAAAATAATTCTTATCTTATATTGGTGTCAGTAACCCCCCTAGGGTTAGTGTTGTGAAAACAGTGAATGTTCTCCTCCAACATGAGAGTAACATGATAACAAAGGTATCAACTGTAGCTGTGAACATGACAGGATGTATGATTACCTAGAAGAGCATCAGGACTGTTTGAGGCATATGATAGCTATGTGATGAACATGATGATTCAGCCTCTATGGAGATAGACATATGACAAGCATGATCATTTCTGACGTGGAGCTAATCCATTCTTGAGATTTTGAGAAAAAAAATCAGGATTTTGAGAAAAAAATCTGGATTTTGAGAAAAAGTCAGAATTTTGAGCGTCAATATCAACGTTATATCAACATCTCAGCACATCTTGTTTTGTTCTGTTCGTTGGTCGTGGGATAGGCTGTTATAACAACTCAGGGAAGGAGGGTAGAGAGAGGAATGAGTCAGCATTTGGAGGTCAATGGTTTCCTGAATGTGTTTTTGGTAGTAGTAGTAGTAGTAGTATAGTAGTAGTAGTAGTAGTAGTAGTAGTAGCAGTAACTTGTGGGCAAAATCCTCCGTCACCATGAGGTTAATTTTCACTGCTACGCCGACGACACACAGGTCTACATTTCCTCCAAACCCACCACTGCCCTGCCCCCAACCTCCCTCACCACCTGCCTTGAGGACATCAAGAGCTGGATGAGCAGGAACCTCCTGAAGCTTAACAGTAGCAAAACTGAGGCCCTGCTCATCGGCTCCAAATCCACCCTCACCAAGTCACATAACACCCCAGCACCAAACATCATCATCGACGGCTTCCCCATACCATTCGCTGGCCAAGTGAAAAGCCTCGGTGTCATTCTGGACGGCTCCCTCTCATTCGCACCACACATAAAAAAACATCACCCGCACCGCCTTCTTTCATCTTCGGAACATCTCCAGACTCCGCTCATCTCTGTCCCAACCCAGCACTGAAATCCTGGTCCACTCATTCGTCACATCCCGGATTGATTACTGCAATGCACTTCTGACTGGCCTTCCCATCAAACTCCTCAATAGACTGCAAATAATCCAGAACTCTGCTGCCCGGATCATCACCCGCACCAACTCATCCGACCACATCGCCCCCATTCTCACTCAGCTACACTGGCTTCCTGTACGCTACCGTATTGACTACAAAAACCTTCTACTCATATATAAAGCTCTCCATAACCTTGCCCCCATCTACATCACCGACCTCCTTCAGGAGTACACCCCCTCCCGCACCCTCCGCTCTTCGTCCGTAGGACTTCTCACCGTCCCAAGCTCTCGCCTCAAAACCATGGGTGCTCGAGCTTTCAGCTGCTCGGCTCCCAGACTTTGGAACTCCCTGCCACGACACATCCCACAGTCTGATTCCATAACAACATTCAAAACCCAACTCAAAACCCACCTGTTCAAACTGGCATTTTCTTTATAAACTGTACCCTGTGTCCTTTTGTGTCCTTCTATAGTCCATTTCCTGTGGTTTGTCTTGTCTTACCCCGGCTGATACTTCACTAAATCCACTGTTTTAATTGTTCCCTATATTGCCCCTATGCCCTGTAAGGTGTCCTTGGGTGTTATGAAAGGCGCCCCCCAAAATATATGTATTATTATTATTAGTAGTAGTAGTAGTAGTAGTAGTAGTAGTAGTAGTAGTAGTAGTAGTAGTGGTAGTGGTAGTGGTAGTGGTAGTGGTAGTGGTAGTAGTGGTAGTAGTAGTAGTAGTAGTAGTGGCAGTGGCAGTGGCAGTGGCAGTGGTAGTAGTGGTAGTGGTAGTGGTAGTAGTAGTAGTAGTAGTAGTAGTAGTAGTAGTAGTAGCAGTAGTAGTAGTAGTAGTAGCAGTAGCAGTAGCAGTAGCAGTAGCAGTAGCAGTAGCAGTGGCAGCGGCAGCGGTAGCGGCAGCGGTAGCGGCAGCGGCAGCGGTAGCGGTAGCAGTAGTAGTAGTAGTAGTAGTGGCAGTGGCAGTGGCAGTGGCAGTGGCAGTGGTAGTGGTAGTGGTAGTGGTAGTGGTGGTAGTGGTAGTAGTAGTAGTAGTAGTGGCAGAGGCAGTGGCAGTGGTAGTGGTAGTGGTAGTGGTGGTAGTGGTAGTAGTAGTAGTAGTAGTAGTAGTAGCAGTAGCAGTAGCGGTAGCGGTGGCGGTGGCGGTGGTGGTGGTAGTAGCAGTAGCAGTAGTAGTAGTAGCAGTAGCAGTGGCAGTAGCAGTGGCAGTGGCAGTGGTAGTGGTAGTGGTAGTGGTGGTAGTGGTAGTAGTAGTAGTAGTAGTAGTAGTAGTAGCAGTAGCAGTGGCAGTGGCAGTGGCAGTGGTAGTGGTAGTGGTAGTGGTGGTGGTGGTAGTGGTAGTAGTAGTAGTAGCAGTAGCAGTAGCAGTAGTAGTAGTAGTAGCAGTAGCAGTAGTAGTAGTAGTAGTAGTAGTAGTAGTAGTAGTGGTAGTGGCAGTGGCAGTGGCAGTGGTAGTGGTGGTAGTGGTAGTGGTAGTGGTAGTAGTAGTAGTAGTAGTAGTAGTAGTAGTAGTAGTAGTAGTAGCAGTAGCAGTAGCAGTAGCAGTAGTAGTAGTAGTAGTAGTGGCAGTGGCAGTGGCGGTGGTGGTAGTGGTAGTGGTAGTAGTGGTAGTGGTAGTGGTAGTGGTAGTAGTAGTAGTAGTAGTAGTAGTAGTAGTAGTAGTAGTAGTAGTAGTAGCAGTAGCAGTAGCAGTAGTAGTAAAAACCTCACTGGTGGATGACGTGCTGGGGCTGGGTGTCTCTAGACAGACAGACAGACAGACAGACAGACAGACAGACAGGTACCTGGTTGGAGATCATCTTCCTGCAGAGATCTGTCACACACTCTGCCAGGCTTCTGCTGAAGCTTTGTCGGGGTGGACTTTACCCATTACAAAATCTGTTTGACATACTCATGCCCAACTCACACACACACACACACACACACACACACACACACACACACACACACAAAACTGTTTGTTTTCACAGTGGATGGGATGCTTTAAGGACAGGAGAAGAGCTCCAAATGAACTATGTATTTACTATACGATCAGCAGGTGTCCTAAACAGACCTCCGTTATGATGCAAGCAAGTCAGGTGAGGTTAATATTACTGTTAGCTGGCCGGCTCTGCTGTGATTGGTCAACCACTTAGAGACGTCCCGCCCCTTAGCCTACCACGTACAATGTGTTAGAGTGCTAGCCAATAGGAGAACGAGTGTTCCATTGTGATGTCACTATGTTCCTGAAGTACACCAATGGAGGCGACGGTTTCTTTTTAACGTCTCAATAGTTCTCTGATTTTTGTTGGTTTTCTCTCATGGGATTTCAAAAATAATCTTGATCCTACAATTGAAATAAGGAATGGCAGTCTGTCTCTGTCTGTGTCTTTTATACGCCCGTACACACAGATCTAATAAGTGTAGCCAGTCTAGCGGTAATCATCTTGACATCTGGCCTGTGCCCTCAATAGGACCGTTTCCCTCCATCAATCCTGCAGTAATCCTCACAATCAGAGACATATGGTCCTGACCGTGGACAGAAAAGCCTTCTATCATTGGACATCTGGCACAGGCAGTACCGGTGAAAATGGACGCTAAAGAAGACTGAAAGTGCACGGTTGTTCTTTATTGCAATTTTTACTTTATATTTAAATTACCAGCATCAAACTTATTGGCAGGAGCAATACTGTAGTGCTGTAATGTTCTCTTTCCAATCAAACCACACAGAAAGGAAATGTCGATCAAGTATTTTTGGCTTCAGTGTGGATTGTATATGAGATAATTCTACACATTGGGGCTTTAAAGATAAGGACTTTTAGTGCAAACATGAGCAAAAACTCAAACCACATGTACTGTATTGTCCTTCAGGGCTTCCATACATACAGTACACTCTATTTCTAATTCGTCCATGCTTGTAATTGTCCATCGTGTTGAACACTGGACACTTCTCACAATAAACGACCGCCTCCTTGGCTGCGTAACAGTAGAGGCAGCGATTGCAGTTCCTCTAGTGAACACAGCAATATACAAATACGCTTTTTTCAGTGTTTCATAAATCTAATATGGTTGCCTGAAAGAAGCCACTGTTCATTTTATTGGCAGTCTAACTACCATCGCTGATCCTCAATTCCTTTAAGGGCACAGCAGCCGTGTGTGATTTGAGACAATATTACCTGGTTAAAATTCAAACACTGCACAGAGTTCATGGTGCACAACATGCAAAGTACTGAAGGAAGTATCCGAATAGAGACACAGCATATAAGAACCCAGATGGTGCTCTCATAACGGTCACAAAGTTGAGTGTGGACGCTGGACACTTCTAACACTCAAAGAAGTAGCGGAAACAGCAGATGTTGCGTGTCCTCTAGTGAATACAGCAATATACAAATACATTTTCTTCAGTATTCAATAACTATACCACTATTCTGGTTAGTAAAATAAGTTGTTACTTGTGTAGTCTTTATAATTTGGTACTACAACGCTTCTAGGTAGTTAGCATACAGCGGCTATCGTCACTTCAACTTGGGACAACACTACAGGGTTTATATGGCAGTGAACTAAGGGAAGTTACTAAATTGAGACACAGCATCAGTCTCTAACGTTCTCTTATCATCAGTTCCTCGTTGTGTGTTTCCTCTCATGACGCCGGGCTGGAGCTCTGGTTCTGTGACTCGGTCTCCCAGTTCTTCCCCTGGTTCTTCTTCCTGCTCCTCTCGGCCATCACCAGAGCGGCCAGCACGGTCACCAGTACGGTGATGGTGATGACGAGCACCGTGGCGGTCTCAGCGACGCACAGCTGGCTGTCCACCCACGCCAGCTGTGACCCGGCCAGCTGAGGAGGGTCGCGGCACGTCACGTTGTGATAGTCTTCAATATGGAGGTGTCGGACGTAAAGGATCTTACTGAAGACACGATGCAAGTCGCAGTCGCAGATCCACGGGTTCCCTGGAGGAGAAACAGGAGAGTAAATATCAGTGATAGGATGTAACTAAGTACATTTATTAAAGTACCAAAACCCGATAGGTGGATTTAAAAACGGTGGCTGCTATTAAGTGTCTAAAGGAGACGACTAAACGTCGTCACGCTCAACGTTAGCCACCTTTAGCTTAGCGGTGGTGACGTGTGTAAGAAATTAAAATCAATGTTTATATGGCGTAATTTAGATTAAATATACTGTAAACTTAAAACTGTTTTATTCTGAAAATACTTTATTTCCGGTTAGCATTAGCATGTGGCTAATGTTATTGTTGAATATTAAATGAATGTACAGTTTTATTTTGAAAAGCTTTATTGAAGGACAACCCCGTCGGTTACACATGACGTTACTTCCGGCTTCACGTTAACGTTTAAAAAGTCATGAATGAGAATACGAGGAGAAAAGGCGTGTGGAGTTATACAATAAACACACAACGTCTAAATCCTCTTATTTACGCAATATCAGAAACAGAAGAACGAGTGGAGGAAGACCCCCCCCCATCGTCGAAGCAGCCAACGAGAGGAGGAGCCAGGAATCCCATATACAGACGCTGCACGGAGAATCGGTCTCTCTTTTTCCTCCTCCCGACACGGCGCCGCGTTTGACTTCCTCTGTCTGTTTCAAAACCACGTTACTTCATTAAAGTACACATTTGAACCTTTCCGGGACTACATTGTCTCTTTTTAACTTCCTCCTGGACTCCAGAACAACGAACAGATCTACACGTGAAGTCATGTGACCGTGCTGTAGTTCCTTTATAGCCCAACATTAGCCACCTTTAGCTTAGCGGTGGTGACGTGAAGTCATGTGACCGTGCTGTAGTTCCTTTATAGCCCAACATTAGCCACATTTAGCTTAGCGGTGGTGACGTGAAGTCATGTGACCGTGCTGTAGTTCCTTTATAGCCCAACATTAGCCACGTTTAGCTTAGCGGTGGTGACGTGAAGTCATGTGACCGTGCTGTAGTTCATTTATAGCCCAACATTAGCCTCCTTTAGCTTAGCGGTGGTGACGTGAAGTCATGTGACCATGCTGTAGTTCCTTTATAGCCCAACGTTAGCCACCTTTAGCTTAGCGGTGGTGACGTGAAGTCATGTGACCGTGCTGTAGTTCCTTTATAGCCCAACATTAGCCTCCTTTAGCTTAGCGGTGGTGACGTGAAGTCATGTGACCATGCTGTAGTTCCTTTATAGCCCAACATTAGCCACCTTTAGCTTAGCGGTGGTGACGTGAAGTCATGTGACCGTGCTATAGTTCCTTTATAGCCCAACGTTAGCCACCTTTAGCTTAGCGGTGGTGACGACAAGTCATGTGACCGTGCTGTAGTTCCTTTATAGCCCAAAATTAGCCTCCTTTAGCTTAGCGGTGGTGACGTGAAGTCATGTGACCATACTTTAGTTCCTTTATAGCCTAACGTTAGCTTTTTACTTCAGAAATCATAAAGTGGTGTTAGTATGTAGAGATTATCCTGCTGAACTAAACGTGTAAACATCACAAACTTTTGTTTCTCACAGAGATTATTTTCTGCAATAATTCAAAATCACATGGAGGAATCCCATTGGACCAGGGAGATTCTACCTTCAGGGACCAACACTGGAATACATCATCCTTTCAGCACTCTATATATCCGTCACTGAGGTCAGAGGGGGGGATTCTGGGATTTTATATGCATTAAGTGCTCCATCACCATCTGGCCTCATGTTGCTCTCTGTCCGGTTGGCAGAAGATGTTCCTTTTTGTCAGATAATATCTGCCATCTGGTAGCAGAACAACACAATAAACCAGCAGCCTGGGGGGTTTCTTCCATTAACTGGGGAGTTTTTCCATGAACTGGGGGGGGTTTCTCCCATTAACTGGGGGTTTCTTCCATTAACTGGGGAGTTATTCCACTAACTGCGGGGTTTCTCCCATTAACTGGGGGTTTCTTCCATTAACTGGGGGTTTCTTCCATTAACTGGGGAGTTATTCCACTAACTGGGGCGTTTCTTCCATTAACTGGGGGGGTTTCTCCCATTAACTGGGGCGTTTCTTCCATTAACTGGGGGGTTTCTCCCATTAACTGGGGGGTTTCTCTCATTAACTGGGGGTTTCTCCCATTAACTGGGGCGTTTCTTCCATTAACTGGGGGGTTTCTCCCATTAACTGGGGGGTTTCTCTCATTAACTGGGGGTTTCTTCCATTAACTGGGGGTTTCTCCCATTAACTGGGGGTTTCTTCCATTAACTGGGGGTTTCTTCCATTAACTGGGGGGTTTCTCCCATTAACTGGCGGTTTCTTCCATTAACTGGGGGGGTTTCTCCCACTAACTGGGGGGTTTATCCATTAACTGGGGGGTTTCTCCCATTAACTGGGGGTTTCTTCCATTAACTGGGGGTTTCTTCCATTAACTGGGGGGTTTCTCCCACTAACTGGAGGTTTCTCCCACTAACTGGGGGTTTATCCCATTAACTGGGGGGTTTCTCCCACTAACTTGGGGTTTCTCCCACTAACTGGGGGGTTTCTTCCACTAACTGGGGGGTTTCTCCCAATAACTGGGGGTTTCTTCCATTAACTGGGGGTTTCTTCCATTAACTGGGGGGTTTCTCCCATTAACTGGCGGTTTCTTCCATTAACTGGGGGGTTTCTCCCACTAACTGGGGGTTTATCCCATTAACTGGGGGGTTTCTCCCATTAACTGGGGGTTTCTTCCAGTAACTGGGGGTTTCTTCCATTAACTGGGGGGTTTCTCCCATTAACTGGGGGTTTTCTCCGACTAACTGGGGGGTTTCTTCCACTAATTGGGGGGTTTCTCCCATTAACTGGGGGTTTCTCCAACTAACTGGGGGGTTTCTTCCACTAATTGGGGGGTTTCTCCCATTAACTGGGGGTTTCTCCCACTAACTGGGGGGTTTCTTCCATTAACTGGGGGTTTCTCCCATTAACTGGGGGTTCCTTCCATTAACTGGGGGGTTTCTCCCATTAACTGGGGGTTTCTTCCATCAACTGGGGGTTTCTTCCATTAACTGGGGGGTTTCTTCCATTAACTGGGGGTTTCTCCCATTAACTGGGGGGTTTCTCCCATTAACTGGGGGTTCCTTCCATTAACTGGGGGTTTCTCCCACTAACTGGGGGGTTTCTTCCATTAACTGGGGGTTTCTCCCATTAACTGGGGGGTTTCTCCCATTAACTGGGGGTTCCTTCCATTAACTGGGGGGTTTCTCCCATTAACTGGGGGTTTCTTCCATCAACTGGGGGTTTCTTCCATCAACTGGGGGTTTCTTCCATTAACTGGGGGTTTGTTCCATTAACTGGGGGTTTCTCCCACTAACTGGGGGGTTTCTTCCATTAACTGGGGGGTTAACTGGGGGGGTTCTCCCACTAACTGGGGGGTTTTCTTCCATTAACTGGGGGGTTTCTCCCATTAACTGGGGGTTTCTTCCATTAACTGGGGGTTTTCTCCCATTAACTGGGGGTTTCTTCCATTAACTGGGTTTCTTCCATTAACTGGGGGTTTCTTCCATTAACTGGGTTTCTTCCATTAACTGGGGGTTTCTCCCATTAACTGGGGGGTTTCCTCCATTAACTGGGTTTCTTCCATTAACTGGGGGTTTCTTCCATTAACTGGGGGTTTATTCCATTGACTGGGGGGTTTATCCCACTAACTGGGGGTTTCTCCCATTAACTGGGGGTTTCTCCCATTAACTGGGGGTTTCTCCCATTAACTGGGCGGTTTCTCCCATTAACTGGGTTTTTTTTCCATTAACTGGGGGGTTTCTCCCATTAACTGGGGGTTTCTTCCATTAACTGGGGGTTTCTTCCATTAACTGGGGGTTTCTCCCACTAACTGGGGGGTTTCTTCCATTAACTGGGGGTTTCTCCCATTAACTGGGGGGTTTCTCCCATTAACTGGGGGTTCCTTCCATTAACTGGGGGTTTCTCCCATTAACTGGGGGTTTCTTCCATCAACTGGGGGTTTCTTCCATTAACTGGGGGTTTGTTCCATTAACTGGGGGGTTTCTTCCATTAACTGGGGGGTTAACTGGGGGGGTTCTCCCACTAACTGGGGGGTTTCTCCCATTAACTGGGGGTTTCTTCCATTAACTGGGGGTTTCTTCCATTAACTGGGAGGTTTCTCCCATTAACTGGGGGTTTCTTCCATTAACTGGGGGTTTCTCCCATTAACTGGGGGTTTGTTCCATTAACTGGGGGGTTTCTTCCATTAACTGCGGGGTTAACTGGGGGGGTTCTCCCACTAACTGGGGGGTTTCTCCCATTAACTGGGGGTTTCTTCCATTAACTGGGGGTTTCTCCCATATGGGGGTTTCTTCCATTAACTGGGTTTCTTCCATTAACTGGGGGTTTCTTCCATTAACTGGGGGGTTTCTCCCACTAACTGGGGGTTTCTCCCATTAACTGGGGGTTTCTCCCATTAACTGGGGGTTTCTTCCATTAACTGGGGGGTTTCCCCCACTAACTGGGGGTTTCTCCCATTAACTGGGGGGTTTCTCCCATTAACTGGCGTTTTTTTCCATTAACTGGGGGGTTTTCTCCCATTAACTGGGGGTTTCTTCCATTAACTGGGGGTTTCTTCCATTAACTGGGGGTTTCTTCCATTAACTGGGGGGTTTCTCCCACTAACTGGGGGGTTTCTTCCATTAACAGGGGGGTTTCTTCCATTAACAGGGGGGTTTCTTCCATTAACAGGGGGGGTTTCTCCCATTAACTGGGGGTTTCTCCCATTAACTGGGGGGTTTCTTCCATTAACTGGGTTTCTTCCATTAACTGGGGGTTTCTTCCATTAACTGGGGGTTTCTTCCATTAACTGGGGGTTTCTTCCATTAACTGGGGGTTTCTTCCATTAACTGGGGGGTTTTCTTCCATTAACAGGGGGGTTTCTTCCATTAACAGGGGGGTTTCTCCCATTAACTGGGGGTTTCTCCCATTAACTGGGGGTTTCTTCCATTAACTGGGTTTCTTCCATTAACTGGGGGTTTCTTCCATTAACTGGGGGTTTCTTCCATTAACTGGGGGTTTCTTCCATTAACTGGGGGTTTCTTCCATTAACTGGGGGTTTCTCCCATTAACTGGGGGTTTCTCCCATTAACTGGGGGCCATTTCTACACTGAAGCTTATGTGCATTAAAGCCTTTGAATCTTTGAATCTTGTAAGGAGGTAACAGTCATATAGATATATATATATATATTTGAACCTGAGAGCTGGATGTGAGTGGCCGTGGTGTGGAGGATGAGGAGGGTTTTGAACTTGAGGTGATGAAGGTCGTTTCCCTCCAGATCCAGGACCGCCAGGCTGTAGAGCGGAGCCAGAGCATCGTTCTCAATCTGAGAGATGTTGTTGTTGCTCAGCTGCAAAACCTGGACACAAAGAAAACAATTAAATCCATTAGATGTTGATCATACAGCCCAGTACCTGGTCCATGGTGAGCCCTCACTATAAGCTCTATCACAGAGAGTCTTATAGTCACGCTAATGAAGATTCGCCCCATGTTAGTATTGTGAGTTTTATCTCAGCATCATTAGTGTTTACACAAACTATATGTGCTGGCAAGGAGGCGGGGCTAATCTATCTACCTACCTACCTACCTACCTACCTACCTACCTACCTACCTACCTACCTACCTACCTACCTACCTACCTACCTACCTACCTACCCACCTACCCACCTACCTACCTACCTACCTACCTACCTACCTACCTACCTACCTACCTACCCACCTACCCACCTACCTACCTACCTACCTACCTACCTACCTACCTACCTACCTACCTACCTACCTACCTACCTACCTACCTACCTACCTACACACCTAACCAACTAACTAACTAACTATCTAACTAACGTAACTTAACCGTCTGCACTCTTCAGGGATGTTTTGGTACCGTTTTTCTGTATTAATTTGAGGTTCAATATCCCTGACATTTGCACTGTTACGTAGATGAACGAAGGCAGTGTGTTTTCTGTGGAGTTAAAGGACATGGACAGACATGTGGGCGTCCTCTCACAGCGATGCATCACCTCCAGAGCAGGCAGCATGTCCAGGCTGCCCTTCTGCAGCACTGTCAGTCTGTTGTTGTTCAGGAACAGCTGTCTGAGTCTGGAGAGGCCCCTGAACACACCGGGGCCCACAGAGTCCAGCTGGTTATAGCTCAGGTCCAGCTTCTCCATGTTGTCCAGAGACTCAAAGCTGAGAGGAGGAGGGAGGGGAGATTAAAGGGGGACATATAGGAAGTCTGCTTTTTTTTTTACATTATATTCATTGGGTTTTTTCAACATAGAACGTACATACAGTCACACACATTAACACATGGGGAAATAACAGTTTTTTGTGTTTGATAGCGATATTCATCAATTTCTCTCATCAATTTCCACTTGATCACTCTCAAGGAAATGCATGAACGTGTCCCATATTTCCTTAAATGTATTTACTTTCCTTTTAATCACATAGGTTCATTTTTCCAAAGCGAGGCAGGACGCCATTTCCCGCATTGCAGGTGTAGGACAATCCGTATTTTGGAAGTCTGCTTTTTAATGTGTACTGTGGGTGGTTTTCGAGATACAAAAGTACGAACATCGCCAGACAACAGGTACTGGACAGAAGAACGTGTAAAAGACGGAATAAAACATGACATTATGTTTAGATATCCTTAAATAAACCACATGTAACTAAGCCTGTTTAGAATGTTAAATTACGTTTATTTTTGTTTTTTGGAAATTTGATTAAACACTCAAATGTTTTCAAATTCAGAACTACTCCTGCGTTAGATGGAGCAGGGATTTTATAAACCTTTAATGTATGCATTCACAGTGACAGATTATGTTTCAGCAGCTGTTCTCACATGTTGTTTTTATCCGGGATTATGTTTTATACTCATGGATGTAAAACATTCATAGCTGGGTAGTATGCAAAACATACATTATTGTTGACACAAATATTCTTCTGATAATGTTGTGAAAATTCTGACTTTTTCTCCAAATCTCAAAATGTCTGACTGCAGCTGCAGCGATAAAGACACACCTGTTTCCTGAGATGTGAAGCAGGCTGTTGTGCTCCAGTCTCAGCTCCTTGAGGGCAGCCAGGCTGGAGGAGAAGTCCACAGGTAGAGACGTTAACTGGTTATAACTCAGATCCAGCTTCTCCAGGTAGGACAGGGACAAGAACGCCTGAAGAGACAGAAAGACAAAGTTTAAGTATTGACCCTTCTCTTTCTTTGCTTTCAGACATAATCCTTTCACATTCAGGACGCAGATGGACCTTCTTTTTAACTTCACTTCTCCCCTCCATCTTTGATCCTTTATTATTATTATCCTCGTCTATCCTCTAACCTCACTCTCTTCTTTCATCTGTCCCTCTTTACTTTCCACTCCTTCACTGTAAATACTTTTACGGCTTACGGACCGTCCACACAGCAGCGTTAAAAAAATCTTGGAACGCTTCTGCCCATTCACTTTGAATGGGGTGACGCCACTTTGCCTCACTTTTCGCCGCACTGCATTGTGGGAAGCAGAGCGGAGATTTTCAGGATTTTCAGGATTCAAAGTTGAGCAATGTTCAACTTTTGAAGCTGAGGTGGAAGCGTCAGCCAATCAAATCCTGTGTATACAAATCTGACAGTTCAAGCTCGAGCCAATCAAACGGCGTGTATGCTGGGAGAGACATACCGCAGGTCATTTCCTCATATTCCAAAACATGGAGGAGAAATGAGCGGTAGGGAATCACCCGGTGCTTTATGACCAGTCCCTATTTACCTACCGGGATACAAACCGGAGGAGCCAGGCATGGAGGGAGGTGGCAGAGACAGTGGTATGTTTTCTCCTGTTTGGGGAGTTTATATCCAGTTTACTTCGGGCTTTTTTGCTTCGTATGTCGGGGGCGGGAGATTCATGTGATTGGTTGTTGGTGCCTTGCTCGCAAAAAATCCCCAAGCTTCAGATACGCCCACCTCCAAGATTTTTTTAACGCTGCTGTGTGGACGGGCCGTTACTGTTGACACACTGAGCTTCAGATATCATGGTCACTACATGCTTCAAAGTGGGGAGACTGGGGACGGTTGCAACCCTTTTAATAAGATAAGATAAAAGGTACTTTATTGATCCCAAATTTGTTTCAATTTCTCTTGTTTTTTTAAAGCTACAGACCCAGAATCATCTCTTTAGTAACAGCTGGAAGAGAGGGGGGGGGGGCTAGAATGATCTGTTTGGTGTTTGGAGCAGGACACTTCAGAGACATGTTTTTTATATATTTGTATATATATCTGAGACCTGTAATATATGCCTAAAAATAGTATAATAGGAGACCTTTAAATGGCTTGTAATGAATATTGTTTAAATGACATGTCCTGAACAGAGAACTGTTTCCATCAAACCCTGTTACCCCTGAGCCCTCATTTGTGCACCGGTCAATCCTCAAACTCAATCCAGAGTTAAAGGTCCCCTATTATACTATTTTTGAAAGAAATCAAAAGAGAGAGGAGAGCTCAAACTCTTTCTCTCTCTCAGGTTTACCACAAGGTGAGTTCCTTTTTATTTCCTGCTTCTTCACACAGACTCTCTCCAGTACAGGTTAGCTCTGAGTGTTAGCATGCTAATGTAAACACAGACCATATTACTTCCAGAACACGTCTCATTGTTTCTGACAGCAACGTTTCTGATTGGCCCGTGGGTGTAAAGCCCGCCCACATTTTAGTAATGTGGTCATGACGCAGCAAATCTGGATCAGCTCCGTTGTTCCCCCGTTTTTAGAGATGTGGGTACGGAGGAAAAGAGAGAGGGGTTTATTTCCTGACACTTTGAGAGTCTCCTGACTCGGGTTGCAAAGGGGCGGAACATTTTCGGTACATTTCCGGAAACTTTCCATGGGAAGTTAAGCTGGGGAATTTTGGAAATATTCATCCAAAAATCCCCACAAAGTCCCATTCAAAATGTGAAATGAAAAGAGCCCCTCTCCCTCTAAAAAGTCCCATTAAACATGCAAATCTTCCTTCAAGCAATCCTCTGCATCTTTGCTAAACCCTTTCAGTCAACGGGCTCTTCCTGGGCCTCATCAACATCACACTCTGAGTCTTCCTCTTCAGTGTCACTGTCCAGCCTTGTTGAGGATGGCTCTGTGTCCGGCTCACAGAGCCTTAGGTTTGCCCGAATGCCAACCAGTTTTTCCACTCTCACATTTGTGAGCCTGTTGCGAAGCTTTGTGTGGTCTCAATAGCCATGCAGTAAGCAGTGTGCTATGGCATGGATATTCAAGTGTACTTGAATGGCATCTGTTTGTTTTAGTCAAGATTATGCTAAAATATACTTTCCCCAACTATATTTAAGTTCCCTATGAAGAGCCAACCTTACATTTTGGAAAATTCCCAGTTTATTCCCATAAATTCCCGTTAATTCCCGTTAATTCCCATGGAAAGTTTCCATCTTTGAAAATTCCCTGAATTTTGCAACCCTACTCCTGACACATTGGGGACACACGGGGGACACACCGGGGACACGTGGTGATGTAGAAAAGACATCAGAAAGTGCATTCTGCATGGTAGGACACCTTTAAATCCCAGATCTGATGTACGTCAATGGGTCTGGATCATGTTTCCCCCTCTCACCTGTGTCTGTACGTCCTGTATCTGGCTCTCTCTCAGCACCAGCACTCTGAGGGACCAGAGGCCTCTGAAGGCTCTGGATCTGATCTCCGTCAGGTTGTTTCCTCCCAGCTCCAGGAGCCAGGTGGCGTGAGGGAGGCCCCTGGGAACCAGGTCAAAGCCCCGAGACCTGCAGTCCACCAGGTCCGCGTTATCATAGCAGACACACAGGTGAGGACAGGAAGGGGAGGATTCAACAGGGAGGAAGAGGAGGAAGAAGAGGAAGAGGAGACGCATGGTTCCTCAGAGAGATGATGATGAAGGTTATTCTGATGGAAGAGACTCGCCGTCAGCCTGGAAAACACAAAGCATTACACAAGTTTTAGAGTAAAATATTAGTAACATACTATAAGAAAAAGTATATCAGTGTCTCTACTTTAAAGAGTCCTCTCCTGCTGATGTTCAGGTGTATATCAGTATGTAGTGTCTCTACTTTAAAGAGTCCTCTCCTGCTGATGTTCAGGTGTATATCAGTATGTAGTTTCTCTACTTTAAAGAGTCCTCTCCTGCTGATGTTCAGGTGTATATCAGTATGTAGTGTCTCTACTTTAAAGAGTCCTCTCCTGCTGATGTTCAGGTGTATATCAGTATGTAGTGTCTCTACTTTAAAGAGTCCTCTCCTGCTGATGTTCAGGTGTATATCAGTATGTACAGTAGTGTCTCTACTTTAAAGAGTCCTCTCCTGCTGATGTTCAGGTGTATATCAGTATGTAGTGTCTCTACTTTAAAGAGTCCTCTCCTGCTGATGTTCAGGTGTATATCAGTATGTAGTGTCTCTACTTTAAAGAGTCCTCTCCTGCTGATGTTCAGGTGTATATCAGTATGTAGTGTCTCTACTTTAAAGAGTCCTCTCCTGCTGATGTTCAGGTGTATATCAGTATGTAGTGTCTCTACTTTAAAGAGTCCTCTCCTGCTGATGTTCAGGTGTATATCAGTATGTTGTGTCTCTACTTTAAAGAGTCCTCTCCTGCTGATGTTCAGGTGTATATCAGTATGTAGTGTCTCTACTTTAAAGAGTCCTCTCCTGCTCATGTTCAGGTGTATATCAGTATGTAGTGTCTCTACTTTAAAGAGTCCTCTCCTGCTGATGTTCAGGTGTATATCAGTATGTAGTGTCTCTACTTTAAAGAGTCCTCTCCAGCTGATGTTCAGGTGTATATCAGTATGTAGTGTCTCTACTTTAAAGAGTCCTCTCCCGCTGATGTTCAGGTGTATATCAGTATGTAGTGTCTCTACTTTAAAGAGTCCTCTCCTGCTGATGTTCATGTGTATATCAGTATGTAGTGTCTCTACTTTAAAGAGTCCTCTCCTGCTGATGTTCAGGTGTATATCAGTATGTAGTGTCTCTGCTTTAAAGAGTCCTCTCCTGCTGATGTTCAGGTGTATATCAGTATGTAGTGTCTCTACTTTAAAGAGTCCTCTCCTGCTCATGTTCAGGTGTACATCAGTATGTAGTGTCTCTACTTTAAAGAGTCCTCTCCTGCTGATGTTCAGGTGTATATCAGTATGTAGTGTCTCTACTTTAAAGAGTCCTCTCCTGCTGATCTTCAGGTGTATATCAGTATGTAGTGTCTCTACTTTAAAGAGTCCTCTCCTGCTGATGTTCAGGTATATATCAGTATGTAGTATCTCTACTTTAAAGAGTCCTCTCCAGCTGATGTTCAGGTGTATATCAGTATGTAGTGTCTCTACTTTAAAGAGTCCTCTCCCGCTGATGTTCAGGTGTATATCAGTATGTAGTGTCTCTACTTTAAAGAGTCCTCTCCTGCTGATGTTCAGGTGTATATCAGTATGTAGTGTCTCTACTTTAAAGAGTCCTCTCCTGCTGATGTTCAGGTGTATATCAGTATGTAGTGTCTCTGCTTTAAAGAGTCCTCTCCTGCTGATGTTCAGGTGTATATCAGTATGTAGTGTCTCTACTTTAAAGAGTCCTCTCCTGCTCATGTTCAGGTGTATATCAGTATGTAGTGTCTCTACTTTAAAGAGTCCTCTCCTGCTGATGTTCAGGTGTATATCAGTATGTAGTGTCTCTACTTTAAAGAGTCCTCTCCTGCTGATGTTCAGGTATATATCAGTATGTAGTGTCTCCAGTGGCGGCTGGTGGAAAATATTTTAGGTGGGGCTGTGGAAATGGTGATCAAACAATACTAGGGGGGTCCGGGGGGATGCTCCCCCGGTCATTTTTTTTGAGAAAAGACCCCTTAAATCATGACTTCTGGTGATGTTAGAGGGGGAGAGGGGGGGGGGGGGGGGAGAAGGACAATTTGAGGCTTAAAAATATGAGAAGACTGATCAATACCTCCATAACTTCAGTGTGGTTAGCTATGAATCTTCCAAAACTTCCAAACACCTTGTCCTGGACATAGTTTCTACAGCATAAACTGTGCAACAGTACAGTAGGCCCACACAAACTGCAGAACACCGGGGCTTTGGGAACACTGATTTAATTCCCATTTAACCTGTTAAGGGGCTTTTTTTCCCCCGTTTTTTTTCTCACGAAACTGTGTCTCAGGGCTTCTTAAAATGTAATAAACTATTCATGTGTCCTACTCAGAGGAAACGCATCGAACTGATGATATGAACCATGTTTACCGAAACAAAACACAAGTCTCACAAGAAGCGTCTAAATGAGCCCTGAGCAAAAAAATGCTAACGCACTCTAGGTATAAATCAATCGATATACTTATCGGATATGCACAAACAAGCTTACAAGCTGAGATTCCACATATTCTAGAAATATAAGTATCATCACTGAGCGATCAGAACTCGCGACAGGGGAAGCAAATACAGACATCACACAACGTAGCTTTAGGTAGCAAAACATGGAGATATGCTCACCTTTTGCAGAATAACAATTCTGATCAAAAACGAGAAAAACGCAGCTGAAGGTTAATCCATAGGTTAATCCAATGTGTCTGTCACTTTGAAAAATGATTGATGATCCATAATTCCATTTTTATGTCAAAAACGGAGTTTTCATTAGCTGCTAATGGTAGCTTCCAGAGTGTATGACAGCTTCCTGTTTTGTCTCCTTGGATACGAGTCCAAACAACTCACAGACTGCACCGGGCGCTGACCTAGGAGCCCTGTGACCATCAGATTTGACGACGCTGATTGGCTGAAATTATGTTTCGGCGGCATAGTTTAAAGATAGCAACAGTTGGCTTCTGCTGCACTTGCTGCACTCTCGTCAGGGAGCTGTGCATAGCGCCCAGACGAGAGAGGGTAATGATACACGGGCAAGGCCAGGCAGGAAACATGTGACATATCAGTAACTTTAGACATCGTTACACAATTTTAAACGAGATTTTATTGTAGATTATACATTTTACTGATACCAATTATATCATATTTACCTTGTTTATTAATAAAAATAAAAATAAAAAATATATTTTTTAAATATATATTTTTTAATTTTTTTTAATTTTTTTAATTTTTTTAATTTTTTTAATTTTTAATGTGGGAAGAGGGGGGGCGGCGCCCCTAGCGCCCCTATGGGCCGGCCGCCACTGAGTGTCTCTACTTTAAAGAGTCCTCTCCTGCTCATGTTCAGGTGTATATCAGTATGTAGTGTCTCTACTTTAAAGAGTCCTCTCCTGCTGATGTTCAGGTGTATATCAGTATGTAGTGTCTCTACTTTAAAGAGTCCTCTCCTGCTGATCTTCAGGTGTATATCAGTATGTAGTGTCTCTACTTTAAAGAGTCCTCTCCTGCTGATGTTCAGGTATATATCAGTATGTAGTGTCTCTACTTTAAAGAGTCCTCTCCTGCTGATGTTCAGGTGTATATCAGTATGTAGTGTCTCTACTGTTGTGATTGGTCAGCCTGTTAGAGAAGTCCCGCCCCTCAGCCTGTCACTACAATGTGTTGGAGCTGTAGTCTCTCTCAGTGTTTATATAATCTCATCATTAAGAGAGGATTACACATAATGAGAATATACAGTATATATTTAAATAAGGTACAGTACTACTAGGTTCATGAAATATAAAAATTACAATAATACAAACATAAGAAGGTAACATTTCAGACTGTACTTGAACTACACAGTGTATTTCTACATTTAAATTGCAGAAAAATAAAGAATCAAATGGAAGAAAACTCCAATAAAACATAACTACCAATAAAATAAAAATATTTATATACAAATCCTAATATTGTACTTCTTCTTTAGGGTGTAGTTTTACATCCTCAATAATAAAAATGTACTTAAATGAAATGTACAAAGCAATAAAAAGGAAAAATGTCCATACGACCCAGATGTGATCTTTGAGGTCTCGTTACTCATTGTTTACTCACCTCCTGCAGACATCTCCTCCCGATCATCCTGTACACATCCTCCAGTTTCAACAGTCTGCAGGACGGGGATGGAGTGCAGAGGAGACAGAGAAACAGAGTGATGATCAGGATGATGATGATGATGATGGTGAGGATGAAGAGGATGGAGACTCAGCCGTCAGTAATCCTCTAATCCTCCGGTCGCCAAATGTTTCCTCTCATCTCTGAACTCTGTATCCCTCCATCCATGAGTGTGTGTGTGTGTGTGTGTGTGTGTGTGTGTGTGTGTGTGTGTGTGTGTGTGTGTGTGTGTGTGTGTGTGTGTGTGTTATCCTGACTATAATCTCTTACTGTTATTCTACTGAGTGTATTATATATATGAACCCACTTTGACATACTGATTTTTAATAATTAAGGTATTTTTGTTCATGTTATGTTGGTGGATGGCTGTGTTTATGCCCCTGTTGATTAATTGGGTGGTTGAATTTTTATTCAGACAACTCCACATATTTTTCACAATTTAATGTCATATTTTTATACACATGTATATTTCTTTGGATTTTATAATCATTATTTTATTTTTAAATATCATACATATTATTATCATCATTATTATAATTTTTTATATTATTAATATGATTATTATTATCATTATTATGAATGTATTTGTATTTTATCTTTTATCTTTTTGTATACCTGTTGGGGCAGTTCATCCAGAGCGTGCCGGTTACGTTCCTCTACGTCATGACGTCACAGGGCGGAAGTGCAGTTTGTTGTTGACAGCGCTGCAGCATGGCGTGTTTTTAGCGTCAGAACTAAACGGAATATTAACTGTTTTAAAGCTTTAAAGATCCTAACACCACTATGGAGGAGCACAGAGAACACACACATGGAGTTAGATGAGGAAACCGGAAGGAGTCGGGAAACATTAGCTACACAGAGCTAACTTCCGGCTAGAAGCTAACAGCTAACAAAGGTAAATAAAGATATGTTTAGTTTGAAAACATGCAAGCTGCACAAATACTGCAGAACAACAAGCTGTGCTACTCTCACTCACACTGAAGTGTCTTTGGGTGCAATGTGCACTTTGATTTGAGTGATATTAGTCTCAGTTTGTTGAGTTTAACTACTGACTTCTGTATATTGAGGTGATATTGATCTGTACCTTTACAGGTGACTGTCTCTCAGACTTCAGTAATAAGAAAGTCACGAGGAGAATCTGTAGTTCATGTTGGTACTATGCAAGTACTATTTTAGCATACTTTATTTGTGTATTTCCCTTTAAGCTATTGTACATGTTCTACATTGACTTCACACTTGGGAACTTCAACAGGAGAGACATTGCTTATGCATGGGTCAGTGGCACAAACAATAAACTACAACAACAACATTTACAATATTTTCACATATTTGCCCCAAAACTTGCATCTCTCTTAAAACTGCAGCAATTCTGAAATACTTCTCATATTTTAAAACGGTGTCCTTGTTGTAACTTTTGTATTGAATTGCTGCACCTTCTTTCCCAAACTAACTATCCCTGTGTCTCCCCTGCAGCATCATGGCAGAGGCGGGGGCCCACCTGACCTCCTCAGGGTCCTCAGTGAGCGAGCCGCCGTCAGTCTTTGAGGTTCTGGCTCAGGAGTCTCTGATGGAGGCGGTCCGCCCGGCGCTGAGGCACGCCGTCAAGGTGAGGGGGTGGGGGGGCACGCCGTCAAGGTGAGGGGGGGGGCACGCTGTCAAGGTGGGGGGGGGGGCACGCTGTCAAGGTGAGGGGGGGGGCACGCTGTCAAGGTGGGGGGGGGGGGGCACGCCGTCAAGGTGAGGGGGGGGGCCACGCCGTCAAGGTGGGGGGGGGGGCACGCCGTCAAGGTGAGGGGGGGGCCACGCCGTCAAGGTGAGGGGGGGGGGGCACGCCGTCAAGGTGAGGGGTGGGGGGGCACGCCGTCAAGGTGAGGGGGGGGGGCCACGCCGTCAAGGTGAGGGGGGGGGAGGGGGGGGGGCACGCTGTCAAGGTGAGGGGGGGGGGGGCACGCCGTCAAGGTGAGGGGGTGGGGGGGCACGCCGTCAAGGTGGGGGGGGGGCACGCCGTCAAGGTGAGGGGGGGGGCAGGCCGTCAAGGTGAGGGGGTGGGGGGGCACGCCGTCAAGGTGAGGGGGGGGGCACGCCGTCAAGGTGAGGGGGGGGCCACGCTGTCAAGGTGGGGGGGGGGGCACGCCGTCAAGGTGAGGGGGGGGGCCACGCTGTCAAGGTGAGGGGGGGGGCACGCTGTCAAGGTGAGGGGGGGGGCCACGCCGTCAAGGTGGGGGGGGGGGCACGCCGTCAAGGTGAGGGGGGGGGGCCACGCCGTCAAGGTGAGGGGGGGGGGCACGCCGTCAAGGTGAGGGGGGGGGGCCACGCCGTCAAGGTGAGGGGGGGGCACGCTGTCAAGGTGAGGGGGGGGGGGGCACGCCGTCAAGGTGAGGGGGGTGGGGGGGCACGCCGTCAAGGTGGGGGGGGGGGCACGCCGTCAAGGTGAGGGGGGGGGCCACGCCGTCAAGGTGAGGGGGGGGGCACGCCGTCAAGGTGAGGGGGGTGGGGGGGCACGCCGTCAAGGTGAGGGGGGGGGCCACGCCGTCAAGGTGGGGGGGGGGCACGCCGTCAAGGTGAGGGGGGGGGCCACGCTGTCAAGGTGAGGGGGGGGGGGCACGCCGTCAAGGTGAGGGGGGGGGGGGGGGGTTAGACTGTGAAGCTTTGTTAATAACTGTATGTTAGAAAAATATCACTCGTCACCGGCTTGAGCTTCAATCTCAGGATCCATGTATTTATTATCCTCTCAAGAATGGATGTAGTCAAAAACAATTCAGACTTTTTCTGAAAACGGAACGGCGGAAACGGACCCTCAAACGATAACGGGTCCCAAGGTGGGTAGATCTGCGGACGGAACGCTCTGGGGGGCCAAACGGCTCCGTGTCTACGCCATAGCCCCGCCTCGCCCCGCCTCGCTCCTGCTCACCCCCGTGTCACCCGCGTCATTGCCGCTGTGTTTCGCCAACAACAACAACAGTGTGCCGAGTGTGTCGAGCCAGGTCCCGGTATCTCACAGGACAGTGCACCCAGCAGGAGCCTCCAGCAGACCCCCCCCCACACGGCAGAGTTTCCGTTAGCCGGTGATTACCGGACTATGACCAGTAAAATATGCTGAAGACCGGCAACTCTAAATCTCTCCGGTCAAAATGTCGCTTATTGTTTAGGTGTCCTTTGACCAGTGTTCAAATTACCCATTTGCTTTCGGGGGAGCCCTATTTATTTATTTTTGTGGCAATCATATAGGCAGACCTGAGAGATGTACATGTTTCCTGCATCAGATCAGCACTGATTGCCAATACCTTGTTTGGAAGGACATCTTTTTTCTCATCTCCGAAATCTCGATCTCTTTTTCGTGTGCCTCGCTCTTATGGTGCTTATAAATCTTTTCCCGCAGGTTCTTCTGTTGATCACTGCTGACTTTTCCCTCAATCCATTCTTGTGAAAGGTGCACTCAGGTGGATTCTTTTGTGAGAGGCAGGGAGATCAATATACTTTTTGCCTCTTTGCAAATCTCACATCCAATCTTTTTTAAAAAGCCATGGATACCTTTCATTCCACTCACTCCATCTTCTCTGTGTCCAGTTAGAAGGCAGGTCATCGTCAGGAAAGGTTCGCTAGCGCAGGTTTGCGCCGCGGCTGTGCAGCCTTGTTGAAGCCTCTTCAGGCTCTGCATCGGCAGGCCTCTCCCTCGGGGTGGAGCTGCCAAACTCGACCCTAACGCCGCTTACAGCCGGCCAAATAAAAGTAGTTCCGTTCACGTTGTCATTTTTAGACTCCTTCGCTTCTTTGCTTGTGAATCCAAAAGCTGCGAGGCTTGGCTGTTTTCGTTTCGCAATCTTTTTTATTACAAAGCCAGAGTTAAAAAAATATCAGTATGAAAATATAAAATACCACACCGGCATCGCCTGCCGTAACCATAGCAACGTAAGTAGCGTAAAGAATGCAGCGCCGCCACGTACAGATGGCAACACCCAGAAATATTCACAAATATAAAACAAATATTCAGAAACTGTAATGAACAATAACTATTATTTATTTACAGAACTGTTATTACAGAAACTCAACATTTCTAATCTGTTATGACACAAATATGCACGATGTTTTGGGCTCCCCCTATTTATCTCAAAGTCGGCCTTCAGGGGAGCTCCCTCCCTCTTCGGGGGAGCCAAGCTCCCCTGGCTCCCCCCCATTTCGGACAGTGCCTACAGTACAAACACCTCACATCACACCTACACACTCACACACACCTACACACTCACACACACCTACACACTCACATACACACCTACACACTCACATACACACCTACACACTCACATACACACCCTACACACTCACATACACACCCTACACAACTCACCAACGACACAACCTACACACTCACACACACACCTACATCCACCAACCTACACACTCACACACAGAACACACCTACACACT